TAACAACATCTGGGGTTTGTTAGAGAAAACCTTACCTGAAATCTACCTCTGGAGCATAGAGTACTGAGCAGAAGCTTTCCGAACACGAGATAGTTAACCAAAAGGACATGTTCCCTTTGAAGGCAGCTTACTGTCCATGGCACAAAGGTCAAAACAGATCCGCACACAAATAGCTTATACACCAACCTAAGTATGCATGGGTGTGAACACACATGCATAAATACACACATGTGAGCTTATGTCAACCTGTCCATAACAGGATGTTTTCATTAAATTACAGGCAACAGGTAATATTATACTAAATTTTTAGAAAGGAAGTCTTTAAGAATTTGACAAAAAAGAAACAGGTAAATGGAAAAACTTAAAGAGCTCATTTCATTTTTAGGGATGTGTCTAAGGTTCAGCTCATTTGAATAAGCCTGAATACATTAGACACATAGGAAATAAGCCTACTATTAGTATAATCACTTACATCTGTCAAATGTGCCCTGATGGATAATGCACTTTTTTCTTTACTCCAGAGAACCCCAAGGAAACAAAACTTGAGATGAAATTTCAGAAGAAGAAAGACTATTGTCCTTCTGTGTTAAATCCTATACCAAAAAAAAAAAAAATGCACATTCAAACAACCCAATAGCTGAATACAGGTGGTTACAGAGACAAACAGGTTCAAAAGAAGTTGGGGGGAGACAACCGTAGCTGCTGGGAAGTCAAAATAAAGGAAAGTCAGGCGGGGCCTTAGAGAGGAAGAAAAGGGGCTCCAGGCCTGAGCTGGGTCTGACCAGCTGAGACAGAGTATTCCACCAGACTCCCAGCCTTCCATGGGGAAGGCAGAGTGCCTGCCTTCAGAAAAGCGAGAATTAAAGAGAGTGTGTTGCATCTTTAAACATGTTACCTGTGTGCAGAAAGCAGGCTGCAAAGAGTTCTGGACCCGGAGTCAGACATAAGACATAAGACCCAGCTCAGCCGTTGCTGTTTATCTGTGTGGTCTTGAAGGAGGCCTCTTCCCATCTCATCCCACATGTCTAAAGTGGACTCAGGGAAACCGTTCTGCCCCCTCTCAGGAGAATCAGTCAGGGTGGGAAGTTGGAGAGCATGTGAATGAGTGAAACCCTTCACAATGCGAGGCGTTCCTTCCACCACAGATGCAGTATACTGTTCCAAGTATTCTAAAAGAGAAAACACGGTGTAGAAGGATGGGAAAGAAGGGATTCAAAACAGTTCTGTAGGGTTTCTGAGGTCAAGGCCTGCCCTCCACAGTCCCTCCTCTTTCTTCATAGATAGGGTGCTGAAACCTTATAACCAGCCTATGAACTTGCCCCCTTGGAATTCCTGCTCAAAGAGGGGCCTCTCCCCACGAAATTTAGGCATGAGATTACCCACCTCCCTCTCCCAGACAAAAGACAGAAACCCAGTTTTGGGACTGGGTGACCACTTCCTTCTTTGCAGAGACCTAGGAGTCACTGGGGAATCCCCAGGAGGAGTCAGAGGTGATGCCCCATGTCATGTGGTCCCTTAATCCTCACTTTAAGCCAGATTTAAAAGTCTTCAAAGTGGACCTTTGACCAGAAGGAAAATGGCTAGCTGAAAAGGCTGCTTTTGGGGAATAGTTCATGTTCATCCAAGGGGCTTTAGGGCATTCCTGTTCCTATTTGGGGGCAGTCTCTTGGGCATAAGTGTCAATCTCACAGTGCCAGCCCAGCCCTGGGATCTGGAGGGACTGAGGGCCTGGTTAGTCTTGTGTCTCATCTAAAATAGGTGCGTGAAAGTTTCAGCATTTCACAAGAGCTGGAGGGGGGCTGGGGGGGCCGGGGGAGCAGGGAGGGTGGGAGTGTGGGGGGAGGTAAGAGCCAGAAGAACAAAAAGTCTCCTGTGAGACTGTGCCTCTTAGAAACGTGAGAGAAGCTACACCCATGATGTCTCCCAACATGACTGCCCAAACATAACCTGAACAAGGATGACATCAGTACACACGCTAAGCTTTTAGGGCTTCCTTATGCATGCAACCCTCCCATAGTATCTAGCCAAGGCATGTTCTGCATGTGGGTCTGAGCTGAGGTTGGAAATGCCCAAGAGAGGGTGAGCTGCCACAGGAGCGCAGACCCCAGAAGCGTGATGCCTGAGCTGAGTCTTGAAGAATAAGCCAGAATTGCCCAAGGTAAAGGAGTGGACGCAGTGATGGAGCTTGGATACAAAGTAGGGCGTGGATTGTTCTGGAACAAGTGTTTTGGGTTGGCTAAAATAGGAAGTGGACAATGAGGCTGGAGAAGACCAGGGCAAGGCCCATAGGACCTGTGGGTCCAACCGTGGCATTCAAACTTTATTGAAAAGGCAGTGGGATCATTAATACTTTTGATCAGGGGAGCAACTGGTTCAGACAGCATGTACAAAAGAGTTTTCAGCCGAAAGCACAGAAAACAGACAGGAGGATAAGGTGGGAAGGAAGGAGGCTAGGCTCTGCTTTTCAGAGCATGTTCCTGCCTCGTTCCCCCTTCGCTCGACCGGATCCTCACAACAACCCAACAGGAAGTCGGCTGACACCGACCGAGGCAAAGGAATCTCTTGAGCCCAAGTGCTCAGGCAGCGTAGGTGACAGAGCAAGACCTGATCTCAGGAAAACATGAATGGCCGTCAGCTCCCCGCTGCGGGTGCTCCCCCTGTGCAGGCTCAGAACTGCCTCCACCCTGAGTGCAGCTCTCCTGGAGCGGTTTCACAGGCAGGTCCTGCAGGCCTCCCTGGAAAAGGCTCTCCACACTGCCCCAGGCCCGTTGATCTATGTAACGCACTGTCTGCCTCATTCTCTTTACACTTAGTCCCAGAGGACCTGCCGCTCTTGAATGCCTTTTCATATTTCCTTTTGCTTTTCATAACGGAGCTCATCTTTCAGAAGTGCACCTGTGCTGTATATGCAAGAACTACGTAAGAATAATAAAGGGATGCTGAGCACTCTCCTTGGATGAACAAACAGACCCGACCAAGAGGCCTGATATTCCTGCGTGCCCGTTCCTGGGGGCCTTTTGGAATCTTTGAACCCTCCTAAAATGTAACCTCGGGTAGCCTGATGACCAAGAGCAGTCTTCCACATCTTTTCTGTCTCCCCCCAGCTCCTCTCGGTGTGTTCTATGCTGAAAATCTAGGCATGCAAACAACCTTTGCCTTGATTCCCTTTGTGGGAAAGTGGGAGAGAGAATTTTAAATCGCATCTACTGGAATAATCCAGAGCACAAGGTCACTGCTACGCTCACAGTCAGCAGGCCAAGCACCACAAGACTGTCAGCGAAAACGTGTTTCCCTGAATCCCAGATTCACCTCATCTACTGCTATGACACCTTCCGGCCAAGGTGACGGCGCCAAGCCAGGCACTAAGCACAGGCCCTCTGTGACAATTCTGTCGGCTCCCCGAGGCGTGTGCTCTGGTCCACTATGGAGCGGGAGGAGAGACCAGGACTTCTGCTTGTACTGTGTGTGTTTTCTAGATAGGGCATGAGGGGTGTGCATGCCTGTGTGCTGGGTGCTACACAGATCAGTGCACTGCCTGGAGGAGCAAATGTATACAGAGCTGAGTAGCACAGTGTTGATGTCACCAACACCTCCTCCCTAACTACAGAGGCCACAGGGAAAGCCCCAAATTGGCAGGACTTAGGCATCCATCCTCTGGTACACGCAAAAAGTACCGTATAGATCTCTTCTTGTGTACCGTCCTCTGCTACTCAAGACCCACCCAAGGATCTGCCTACAAGCCTCAAGCTGCCAGAATATGAGTATACATCAAAGTACACATCATTTGCCAGGATACGTTCTGTACTAAAAATCTGCCCGGGAAAGAATAAAGACCGAGTTTGCTGACATGCTCTCCCAATCCTGGCCAAAAGCACTGTTCACACGCTCAGAGCAACTACATCACATACCTCTTGTACCCACCCCTAGTTCCTTCCACAGCAAGAAAGAGAACTGTCTCCCAAGTGGCCAGCACAGACAGAGGTTCCTGCCCCTGGCTCCTCTCCACCTGCTCCCAGCTGTTTGGGACTGCACTCAGAAGGAGGCTCAGCCCATGAGATCTGGGATGGGGTTTAAATGCCTTTGTTGTGGTAACTCTGATGGTTGGTCATTGTCAGCTTAACGAGATTAGGAGTCACCATGGAAACACACCTCTGGGTGTGTCTATAAGGGGTTTACAGAAGCACCCATCATGTGGACTGGGGTCCTGGATCACAAAAAAAAATGAGGAAAACAGGAAGTGAAGCTCGCTGAGCATCAGGATCCCCCTCTTTCTGCCTCCTGACTGGATATAATGTAGGAGCTGCTACTGCACCATGATGGACACTCAGTGAGCTGAAAACAAGGCCTACCTTCCCATCCCACACCCTTTGTCCCGGCAATGGAAACGCAGCTGACATGGTAACCTAGGCAGGAGTCTGTTTTTGTAAAAGACCCTCATCCAGGACTCTGAGGAGGTAGAGTCAGAAAAGATGGGCCTGTGATACACTACAGGGGATTTTTTAAGGCGTGGGGGGCTGGAGTCCAGCAGTTAGGAAGAAGTGTTTGCTGCACAATCATGAGAACCAGAATCCAGAGGCCAGCACTCATGTAACAAGCTAGGCATCCCCCACTAACGCCTGTGACTCCAGCTCTGAGTGTGTACATAGGCATGCACACCCACACATGTGAACACATTCACACACACACGCATATATGCATAGACACATATATACACACATACACACATACAGTCAAACTTATATACACACACATAATATATGCATATATACACACACCCTTGCATACATACTTACATACACACACACACACACACACACACACACACACACACACACACACCTTTTCTGAAAAGCCTTGGGAAAGAGTCATCAGGCACCAGGCTGCCGGGCCAAAGTAGCAATGTTTCAACGGGAGGCATGCAAACCTAGCCCTTGCCCACTGGCCTAAAATATCAATTACCATAGTTGATGTTAGCACTGTAAGGAAGACCGCAGGGGCACCTATCCCTTACAGGAAGAAGCTAAGATCCCAGAAGATGACCATGACTCAAGCTGGGCCTGACCTCAGCCTCCCGACTTCTTATCCGGTGAGTAAATCTGGTGATAGAAGGCAGCTAGATTAAAAACTACATGGAAACACTCCCCAGATGAGCTGAGGTCCATGCTTTCATGTGGGTAACCGCTACACACCACCCCGGTCCTGTGGACCCTTCTCCAGCAAAGGGAAGGCGGCATTTCTTCCATCCGTTGCAGAGCTGGGGAACAGCGTCTTGTTGTTTTGCTGGTTACAAGAAGACAAAGAAACAGGCTCCACTCAACTCTGCAAGACTTGGAGGTAGATGCCTTGACAATCTGGGGAAGAGACAGAACGGAGCACACCCGAGTGCATCGTCCCACGTCCTAAGAAGGAGAAATGGAGTCAGACAAGTCACCGCCTCAAATCCAGGGGCAGATGCTAAGTTCATGTGCAATGCAAAGAGGGGCGATGACCCAACAATGGGAGTTTCTATAGAGATTCCATCTCAAATCATTCTATTTCAGAATTACTGATATCAAAAAGGTCCAAATTCTGAGCTCTGCTTCAATATTCAGAAGCACGAATTTTATACAGGAACTTTTTGAAAATAATGTCTTCTTTGTTGTTTTGAATACAACTTCACTTTAGATGTAGAAACTATTCCCTAGCTAACAGTTCTGGGAAAGTCTATGGTGTCACCAAGGTCTTTTCTGAGGCCTCTCTTTACATAACAGCTACTTATTCCTTGGGTCCTCACAGGGTCTTCTTACTGTGTGTGTCTGCCTGGTACTTCCCTTTTACAAGGACACTGGTCCCACTGGACCCAGGGCTGTCCTCATGACCTGTGCTTATGTCAACTTGAGACAAGCTAGAGTCATTTGGGAAGAGGGACTCTCAACTGAGAAAATGCCAGCCTCTAATCCCAGCACTTGGGAGGCAGAGCCAGGCGTATCTCTGTGAGTTCAAGGCTAGCCTGGTCTACAGAGCTAGTTCCAGGAAAGGCGCAAAGCTACACAGAGAAACCCTGCCTTGAAAAAACCAAAAAGAAAAGAAAAGAAAATGCCTCCATAAGACTGGCCCTGTCAGCAAATCTGTAGTATGTTTTCTTATTAGTGATTGATTGAGGGAGGGCTCGGTCATTGGGGATGGTGCCATCTCTGGTGGTCCTGGGTGCTATAAAAGCAGGCTGAGCAAGCCATAGGGAGCAAGCCAGTGTTTCTCCATGGCCTCCGCTTCTGTTCTTACCTCCAGGTTTCTGCTCTGAGTTCTTGCCTGACCTCTTTCTATGATGAACTGTGATGTAGGGAAATAAACCCTTTCCTCCTCAAGTGGCTTTAACTGGTCATGGTGTTTTATCACAGCGATAGCAAAGTAACTAAGACATTACCCTATTGTATGTCTCTGGAGACCTTATCTCCACACACAGTAACATGCTGAGGTACGGGGCGAGTGTTAAGATCCTAACATACGGCCGGGCGGTGGTGGCGCACGCCTTTAATCCCAGCACTCGGGAGGCAGAGCCAGG